TTTACATGCCATGCCTCTTTTGGATATCTCGGGTAGTTAAATTCATGATAAACGGATAACTTGACCATTCCTTGAGAGAATATTGAGCCTCAAACTCACACCTGACCTCAAGTGGAACTCTTATATACGATCCATTGTTAAAGATACTCCTCATGCTATCCTTTATCTTTATAAGAGCCAGATCAGGCTGAAAATGGAGTATTGGTGCCATATTTGGGCAGAAGCTGCCCACTCCTCACTTTCCAGTGTTGATATAAAGTTCAAAAGTGTCTCTGAGTCCTTGTTGGAGAAGAATTATTTTCCTCCTTCCAGCCTCTCTCTCTCTCACAGCCGGATTAAGGCAAGTCTCTCACTGCTCTATTGCTACTTTCATGGAAAGTGCTTGGATGAATTACATTCCTTGGTTCTACCAGGTCTAACCTTCACAGCAAGAACCTCCATGCATCTTACATGGTAGCAAACTACTTACATTTCCTTCATATTCCATCAGTGAGAAGTTACACTCAAACAGCTTTTTCCCACAAACCACTGCCCTGTGGAACAGACTTCCAAGAGAATGATTCGCTGATTACTACAATCTTAGCATGTTTAACTGTTCTATAACTGTTATCTTTCTCTCCTATCCATATAAACTACCTCTTTATGTAACCTTCTACCTTGAGTGGCTCCCAGGCCTTGTACAGGGTGAACCTTACTAGAAAAAAAACTCTCCAAGTTTTTGTTCCTTTTGTTATGGTCAGGTATTGAACTCACTACTCTTTGGGTCAAGTCACTTTTTGGATTACATCAACCAATGCTTTTATCCACTGGGCCACATGTCTTTGTCCAACATATATCACCTGAAGAAGGTTGGAATGTATAACGGCAGAAACATTGTAAATATAGCAGTAAAGATGAAGACAACAGTCCAAGCAATGTAAGTAGTATAAAGAAATGATATATATAAAAAATAGTGCACAATGTAAAATAAGACTTAAAATTTGTGCTACTAATAAATATTACCTCATGCATAAAGCTTGGAGTTGTACTCAATGCTGAGGAACAAATATATATTTATTATTTGTGTATCTGTGTGTGTGTGTATATATATATATATATATATATATATATATATATATATTATATTAAGAAACATAAGAAACAGACAACTTTTAGGGTTCATGGAGATTATAATTTATTTCCTTAGAATCAAAATTTGATTCTAATTCCTCAGATCAACATTCTCATACAAAATTATTAGGATCAACATTTTCATACAAAAGATTATTTGTATGAAAATGGTTGATCTGAGGAATTAGAATTGAATCTCAGTTCGAACAAAATAAATTATAATCACCATGAACCCTTAAAGTTGTCTGTTTCTTAATATAATTAATATTTGCTCTGTTTTTATATTGAGCTCTCTGGATTATATCCTCCCTGGAATTATCCATATAGATTACCAATCACATATATTATATATATATATATATACCCAATTTCAGTCAGAAGGTTTGCATCAACTCGTGAAGTATTTTATAAGCTCTTTCCAAAGATGCCACACGCTGGGATCACCTCCCCATGCTCATAACATCAAGAAGTTACCTTCCTGATAAATTGACTATGCTGATATTTGAATCCTGGTCTTGTGGTCAGAAAGTGATTATTCTCACTACTCAGTTTTATATAAGCTCTGTTTAATATAGTTTTTTTAATGCTGTCTATTTTAAAAAACAATGTTAATGTCTTACATGATATACAGAGTACAGCAGAAATACCTCCCATATATTCCTCCTACATAATGGTAAGACAGTGGCAATGGTGTCTTTATCTTGCTAATGTCTTAGCATTATGTGGGAAGTATTTCTGGCATACTCTGTATAATAAGCGTGTATATTTATTTCATTTATTCAAGCTACTCAGTATTAGAATTAATATCTTAAAATTTAAACTTTCTCCAAATTAAAAACATTGAGTCAGAAGAACGACTTAAAGTGCTAATTAATCAGAAAAAAGCAGTTTTTTTTTTCGCCAATATGAATGCCACTTCTTTGATTGATGTTTTTTTAAAATACCTTTTTAATCCATTTTGCTATCAATTTTCCTCAGCTCAAGTGCCCACTACATGGTCAATTAAAATGGCTTTTTAATATAGTCAGTAGAAAGCCTTTATTTATTCATTACATTCTCTATAATAATGCTTTATAGCTTTATTGCAATTACTTTAATATTGCTAATTTTTTTTAACCTTTTTCATTATATTATTTAACATAGCCAGGGTCACCCTCATGATACATAAGACTAAAATATGGCATTTTAACATAGTAGGGAGAATTTATTTTCCCTTAACACCACTACAGTAATTCACCATAGATTGATTATAATTACTTTAATATTACTATTTTTGGCAATGTTTAACTTCTGTACCTCTAAAAAACTGTGTTAAAAGGATGTTTTTTATCTCTTGATGTCACTATTAATCTAAGCACACCCCTGGACTCCCGCGGCATTGTTTATTGTTCTAAAAAGCTATATTTAGAATTTTAATAACAACAAAAATGTTACATGTGACAGGTTGAGAATCCTTTATCCAAAATTCTTGGGTGTTCTTTGTTTTTCAGACTTTTTAGGATTTTGGAATACATCCTATTTGTATATGGCATCTATAAAATGGAGCAATTTGGAAATGGAATACAAGCATAAAAACTGTTGTGTCACAAATAGGTGAGGTTGATACACATATAGAAGTAGTTTATTCCAGAGAATAATATGGTATATGGTTGAGAGCACAGACTAATGTAAAGTTCCACTATGAAAATTTCAGTGTGTTTGGTTGTCAATCTAAAGACAAGGCAGAGAATTCGGAAAGAGTTAGATGAGTCTAATGGTGATTACAAATGTGTTTGGAGTGATCACTTGTGATAGCAACGTTATGCCTCCATTCATTTCCCTACAGGGCCTCAGACTCAACACGGAGCCATTCATCAAGTGCCTTGAACAGGTAGCACAGCCTTGGGTCAAGAGGATGTTTGCTGGAACACCTTATGTCTGTCAACAGGACTCTGCACCATACCACACAAGTGAGAGAACCCAGTCATGACTGTCAGATAATTTCTGCAACCAAATCATTAACTACTGTCCCTCAGTAGGAAAGTGTGTTGTTTTAATAATCCTGAACCAGTCCATCTTGTGGTGGTGTTCAGCTATTCTACAACAAAAAATAATATCCTTTACATTTCATAATACAGCTTATACATATACCCTGAATGTAGTTTTATATAAATGACATATACCCTGAATGTAGTTTTATATAAATGACATATACCCTGAATGTAGTTTTATATAAATGACATATACCCTGAATGTAGTTTCTTATAAAATTTAATAAATTTTGTGTATATACATATACAGGTAATGACATGAGTCATGCTCACCTGGATTTTTAATTTTGAGTAACCCCCACCCAGTGCAGATAAAATTGACAACAGCTGCAAATTACCTGATAACCTTCCCAGTGCTTTCTCAAATTTTCCATTTGTGTCAAGTCATGTCAGCACCTGAAAAACTTTCGAAGTTTGGAATTTTGGATAAATGATACTCAGCCTGTATTTAAAAATTACATTGCTTATTTACAAGATGAATTTTATATTTACAAGATTATAAAAACAACATGTGTATATTCGAATTGATTGGTAATTGGACAATGTTTTCATGACCATTTCAACAAACACAGTTCACTAGCATCAGCAATTGCTTTGTTCAAGGTACTTAGTGTTCATTCTTCATTTAAGATTTCTTCATCAGTCATCACTTGGCTGATGATAAATATTCTATATGCAGATTTTCTAGGTATGCTTTATGCGTATTTTTCAGAAAAATTAGCAATGATTTTAAAAATAATTTAAAAAATTAAGTTTTTCAAAAAAAACAGTACAATGAGGTTTCCACCGTAAGAAAAAAAGAAATTGCAAAATTAAAACAAAACATATCCAGAGATTCAGGTTAAATAACAGAACAGATTGAGCTGTCTTGCCTTGAGGTGGCAACTCATCTGGGAGAAGGAAAACCAGCCTGAATAGGGGTGGGCTCCATCAGGCAGCCTTGCCTGAGACTCATCACTGTTGCTGCATCTATGGTACATAGGTATGAATTATTCTCGTCGTCTTCATTTTTATAGCTAATGGTCTTAGCGGTTTTGCACATGGAAACAGACTTTGTTCAGGGGATGAAGATAAAAAAAATATTTATTTTAAATAAAGACCAAATGGATATATACATTTTTGATTTCTTAAAAAAGTGATACATTTTTATTTATTAATCCGATAATTTTTATTACTTAAAGGTTATTTAATCATCAGTAGATCCAACATGCTTTAGGCTGTTATTAGATATTTCTTTGTTTGTTAGGATAAGAAACCGAGCAGATAATTAATGTTTAAAGAGATCAAGAAAGATTTACTTTTATAAAGGACCATTCAACTTGATCCTCAATGCATTTTGTAGCCAAGATGGTCTAAAGCATGTTGAATCTAGTACCGGTTTCTCCTATAAAGGAGGATGCAGGTTCACATCCTGCCAGAGACTCCATATTTTTCTTTGATTCGATATCTTGAATGAGTATTAAATAGTGCTACAAAATAGAATACACAATATGTATCTCAAGCATGTAGTTATTCCCATATATAGTCATTATTCAAAAAAAAAAAAAAAATGCTGTGGCGGGGAAGATATTTTAAATAGAACATGTCTGTTTATTATTTAATGTAATGATTAGTGACTTTTTCAGTTATGTTTTATTGTTTATTTTATTTTATTTTTTTCACGAAACATGTCAAGAGCGGCAGATAAAACTTCAGGGCAGCAAAAGGTTTAAAGAAAAATAATCGTTTCCCACTCCCCATCAAATCTTTCCTCTAGTGTTTCTTACTCCATTTCAGTAAATGTGCCAAAAAAAAAAAAAAAACCTATCACCACAGGATGCACAAGTCTATTTTTAGCTTGTCACGTTTCCTATCCTTCAGGACGCACATAATCACACTCACTATGGACAAGGGCTTGACTATAATAGTAGCTCTGAACTTTCGGACATAGCCGAAGTTGATGAGGAGCCTGAAGGGGAAATTGAAGCACCCCAGCCAACCGGTGGTCACACTGGACCTGCCGGAGCGCCCCCTAGTGGAACCAAGGTAAACTAATAGTACTAATATGCATGGCTGTCTTCTATCTGGTTGGGTATACGTGCCATTCTGATAACTGCCTAACTGATTCTTCTTGCTCTTAGTTCGATTTTCTTAACCCTGATCTCTAAGATCATTCAGCTGGGCATGTCTAATCATGCTTGTTTGCTTGAATTGTGGTGTTTCCTAACTGTTTTTGGATGTTGGAACAGTTTTTTTCAAAAATTAATGGCTAACAATTATTTCTAGTCTTTCCTTCTACTTCTGCTTTTGAGCTAACAAAAAATAAATGGTGTTTTCAGCCTGGTAAAGAGTGTTTCTGCAAAGCATTACCATTCTTCTTCCTTTGGTTGATATTTGAGCATATGACTGCTTGTAAAAAAATAAAATGGAAAAACTTTTTTCTTTTTTTTTTTTTTTTTAAATTGCTGTTTTCTTTCCAAAACTTTTTAATCCTTCTTACACTCTCTTTTTCTCGACACTTTCTCAATTCACCCTCTTTCTCTAGTTATTATTCTTTATCTTCATAATTATCACGACTCTCCCACTCTCTTTTTTTATGATTCTTTGTCTTTCTTCTCTGACATTCTGTTCCTCCCCCTTTCACTCTCTTTGTTCACTTCTTCATTTTCTTTTTTCTCCTCCTCTCTCTCTCTCTCTCTCTCAGTTTTCTCTTGGTCGTTTGTTTATATTTTCTCTCTGACCTTTCCTTCTAACTCTTCACTATCTCATCCTCTTCTACTTTCTCTCTCTTACTCTCTTGCTGTTTGCTCCTCTCTCTTTCTGTCACTGCCTTTCTTTTTTTCTCATTTTTGGTCTTTTTCTTTTCCCTTTCTCTTCATCTTATTTCCTTCTTCCTCTCTTTCCTTCATTGTTTTCCTCTTTCTTATAATTCCTGTTTCTTCTTTTTTCGATTATTTCATCCAAAATTTTTTGAAACCCAGCCACTCCATTTGTGATCCCAAATAATATCCATTTGAAATTATACAATTTACAACCAGCTTCAAAAGCTGTTTAAGAGTGGTCAGCTTTATGTTGTGTAACTTGATAATACACACTTTTTAGGTCTAGTTTAGAGTACAGACTATACTTTGCTATTTCCAAAACCATCTTTGTCATCTTAGGCAGTGGATAGGCTTCTTTTAAGATAAAATGATTTATTGTTTGTGAATAATCTATGCCTAACCCCTTTTTTTTTTTCCTTTCTCATCCTCAGTTACCATTAATTGTGCTCTCCACAGAGCTCTACTGGGCTCAGTGATATCTGAATCCAACAGGCTTTTTATTTCCTTCCTTATAAATGCCTCCTCTTCTCTAGAGTATCGTCATGATTTCCCAGATTTAGATCTACAGTCAGGCAGCAGATTTTCATACAGAGGAGAGGGGTGAAATCTTCATGCTAGTTAATCCACACAGTTTTAGAGGTGGTCTCTTGCCTTCATATAAAATATCTATTTTTTTGTGCAGGCCTTGAAAATCTTGACCAAGAATCACATCAGCACATAAATCCTCAATTAAGGTTAAATTAAATATTTTTGAAAGTTTCTGTACCCACCATACGGTTTGTTTAACATTTTTGTACAGTTTTAAATAGCTAGTCAGAAGAAGCCATATTAACGGTAGAATTAGTTGGTCTAATGTCCAAACCTATAGACTGAGCTATCTTGGTGCTGATAAAACTATGACTACTTCCTGAATCTACTAGCAAGGTAAGTTTTTTTTTTTTTTTTTTTTTTTTTTACAAGGCATTTTACTGTGGCTTTCAAATGATTTCAAAATGACCTACCTTTTCTTGCAATTGTAGCAACTCATTCCTCAAGCTGGACATTTATCTCAAGGGTGCCTAGTGCCTCCACAGAAAAAAGCGGCTTTTATTAGCTTTCATGTGATGGACTTTAGTAAAATGATCTTTCTTCTTGCTAACTTCTTTGCAATACCTCATTCTTAAAGCCGGACACTTACTTCTAGAGTGCCTAGTGCCTCTTCAGAAAAATCACCTTTCTTTTAAAAGCGATTTGCTAGCAACAGATGTCCAAGAGCCTTCCTTCTTTTGATTTTCCTCTTGCTGAGAAGTTTAGGCGTTAGTCCGTGGTTCCAATACCAACGCTACTTGGCAACTTGTTTGGGTATCAGCAGAATAAGCTTCAGAATTTAGGATAGCCCTTTCCTCATTTTACGCTTGATTTCCAGCTTCTGTGAGGGTGAGCATTTTGTTTTCAAGAAGTCTCTGTCGAATAGGAGGTGTGGATAACCCAGAAATAAAAGCATCTCTAATAGTTTCCTCTTTGTAAACTTGAGTGTTAACATCTTTGAATTTAAAGTCCTTCAATAGAATATGCAATGCTTGAGGATATTGATCCAAGGATTCTCCAGCCTGTTGAATTCTGGTTGCAAGTATATGCCTGGTATATATCTCATTTTTTTTCTTGGACAAAAGCTCTCTTTAGAATGTTAATAGATTCTTCAAAGTTTGTACATTCACTGTACAGTTTGTATACATCAGACAACACATAGTTTATAAAAATATCCAACTCCTCACCCCCACTATGCTTGAGGAAGTTTAAAAAATGATTCTGTATTTTCTCCACCCTGGGGGTCTTACTGACTAGATTCAGAATTTTAGGTTTTAGTATACTGTCATGTTGATATCCGAAACAAAAAAATTAGTAGTTAGTTTATTTATATGGTGGTGGTTTGCATATGAATATAGACGGTACATATTATATAAACTCAGTTCTTCTTTATTGTTTCCACTCTCCCTCTCTCTCTTTTTCTGTTTTCCCTGTTCTTCGCCCAATCACACCACTCTCTGTCTTTTGTTCGTTACTTTCGCCACTTTCTCTCTCTCTCTCCCTCTCCCTCTGTCTATTGCCACTGCTCTCTACTTCTCTCTTGTCACTGTTCTCTGCAATTCTGTTATCACCAGTGTCTCTCACTCTTCCACTGCTCCCCCACTACTTTCACTCACTGCTCTCTCTTTCCCTCTCTATTTTCACTTCTCCCTCTCCCTTTTTACTTTCACTTCTCCGTCTCCCTTTTTACTTTCACTCCTCTCTCCCTTTTTACTTTCGCTTCCCTCTCTCCCTTTTTACTTTCACTTCCCTCTCTCCCTTTTTACTTTCACTTCCCTCTCTCCCTTTTTACTTTCACTGCTCTCCCTCCCTCTCTCTCACCACTCCCTCCTTTTCTCTTTCTATTGTCACTGCTCTCTACCTTCTCTTTCCACTACCATCACTCTCTTTACTTTATAGTCCCTCTACTTTACCATTACACTCTCTCTCCAGTATTTTGTCATCAGTCTTCCATACTTCCATCTTCATCCTCGTTTCTCTCTTCTTTATCTTCTACCCCTAATTTTTCTTACAGTTCCTCCCTGCATTCTGTCTTGTTCTTCTCTCTTTCTTTCTTAGATTTTCACCTTGATACCCCCCTCTCTATACTATATCTATTCTTTCTCTCTCGCTCCTCTTTGCCCCTTCTTTCTTTCCTCTCTCCCCCCTCTCTTTTGGGTTTTTTCAAATAAAAAGATATAAATCCTCTGAAAATGTGCAAATGTTTCACCACCCAAAGTGCTTTCATCCGACAGAAGAAATAACCATATTAGGGATCTCAGTAGAACTCAATCCCTGCTTCCTCTAAGCTAAATCTGCAGAGCTCCCTTTCTTTTTTGGTATTTCCCATGTTTTTTTTTTCTCATCTCTTTCATCCAGTTGCTATCTGCTTTATTTTATTTTATTTCTTTTTTAATAAATTCTGTAAAATCTCCCTAATCTCTAATTTTTACAAATGATTCTCATATATACAGGGACCATTTGGTAATCAAGAATAAATGTTAATACAAGGAGAAACAATGTTTCCAAAAACATTTGTACACATGTTCAACATTTTTCTCTAATCATTTCATCCAAGCAAGGTGATAAAGCCACTAAGACGCAAAGTGTTACTGAGAGTAAAAGAAGCTGTGAAAATGTTATTGAGTAGAAAGAACAATAAAAGAACAGGTTTCAAGAAGACAGAAGCTGAAAATTGGCATTGCATTCAAATTTTTTAAGATAATATTTTACAGGAAAGCAAGAACCTGGATGAGAATTCTGTAAGCAAGAATTGCAAGAGAAGAAACTGTTAGCATAGATCTTATGGTTACATATAACAATTTCAGCAGCAAAATGATGAGACCTATCTGCCAATCTAGTACTGCACTTAAATTTGTGAATTTTATCCCAAGCAAGGTGATAAAGCCACTAAGATGCAAAGGGTTACTGAGAGTGAAAGAAACTGAAGTGCAACTGCATGTCTGGATATAGTGGTTCTCATTCATGTTAACCATCACATCCACACTGGCGGCCTTCAGTGAATCCTTGGACTTGTGTTTGGTCTCCTTCTCAGCAACATCCCACCTCAGAACTAATAAGCCAGGAGATTTAAATCAGGACAGCTTAGAGGTCAAATTCCAAGAGGATGGATTTTGAAAAATTCTAAAAAAGATTGAAAAAAAAATTTTGAAAAAGATTTTGAAAATTCTTGACCAACCTCTTGTGAATCATGCAGGAGGAAACAGAGACTGGCTGTTATATATACCTCCACCTACTTCATCTACGTCTTGGTGACTATATCCAGCATCTTGATTTAGGTAGTGGCATTGACCTCAGGGACTATGCTACAAAATGTGAAGTGGCATGCAAAATAGTACAATTTACAGTAATCCTTTCACAGTTATTGTATCAACAAAAAAATCTTTACTTTTTAACAATAGTCAAAATTTTAAGTCAGTTTTAGAGGCATTGTATATAATTTATAAGATACATATATATGTACATTGATTTTATTTTTGAATGATGCATATATTTTTTTTAATTATTTCACCCCAAGCAAGACTATAAAGCCACTAAGATGCAAAGGTTTACTGAGCATTAGAAAATATGAAAAATGAACACTATTAAGAAGAGAGAACAATAAAAGAACAAGCATTCTGGAGACAGAAGATAATGATTGACATTGCATTTAAACTTTTAAAAATCAAAGTTGACTGGGAAGTAAGAGGCCAGAAGAGAGTTTTGTAAGCAAGAAGTGTGAGTGAAGAAACTATTAACATAGAACTTACAGTTTACCTCTTGCCATTTCAACTGTAAGATGATGAGTCATTGCCACCAATCTTGTACTACACTTAAACTCAAAGTCTAGGTACCATAGAGGAAAGTTCATCAGAACAATTACTGTGAAATTATTTCAGGAATTTTAAAGAAAAGACACTGCTAAGTTACGGTGGTGGGAAAATGAATGAAGCCGAGATGCCAAGTCAGGACCAATAATATTGCAGATTCTTCTTTGGATTTTATCAAGAATCTAAATATATAACAGGAGCACCAGACTAGATGTGGCAACAATATTCAAAGCAATAGACTCATAAATATATAAGACAGATTCTGGTAAGAAAAATTGTCTCACACGACACAGTCAACCAAGATTACAAGTAGAAAACTTAGCAATTGATTTTTGAAGTTTTATAGCTTTTTCATTATTTAGATTCCGTGTACAAAAAGATAGTATTGGAAAAATCGTTATTCAATAGATTTAAATCTGTTGAATAACAATTTCTTTTTATTGCTTATTTAGTGTCAGATTAAAAATACTAGTAAAATTCAAACAACAAAGTTGTATTAAAATCAATTGCCCAAATCCGAACACAATGATGCTTTCTAGCAAAACATTTTAAATCTTTATGTGGCTAAATAATACAAAATAAGAAATACCGAAATTTTTACATCATTTTAATTTAAACACTGATGCACTTTAAAAACTGCTTTTATTTCAATATAATACTCCTTTAATGGGGTGGGGCTATGGGAGAAAGAATATTTCCACTTGCTTTTCCCCCATTATAGGGTTTATTATCTCCTTGATATAAAACCTTAATACAACAAACAGAATAAAATATCTGGGAGAAAGGAATGATAAACATACATTTGTTCTCAAAGAGATATTTTATAACAATATATACATACTTATTACAAATTCTTCCCACAAAGAGAAACTATAACATGTGTATACAACAAGCAGTGTGTCAGGGTCAAAAAGAAAGACAGTCTTACTTGTAATATTTACCAACAGGAAAAATTACAAGTTGGTGGTGTCTTTTTATGATTTAGGTGTGGGTTCTTCTGTTCACCCTACCACTGTGAGCTTGTCACATCCATCTTTGTAGACTACATAGCAACTGTCATGGACAGACTAATCTTGTCTTCAGGCATGAAAAATAGCAACTGGCCTTTGACACTATCTACTGACATCACTCACCAGTCATGTGACCCCAATGACTTTGTCTTAACCAAATGGATACTCATTCCTTGCATCCTTACATTTTAAGTCAACTGTATTTAAAATAAAAATATTAGAAAAAAATACATAATTTTATAACAAATAAGTATTGAAAGTCTATTTTCAAGCCAATTATTTATTTTTAAAAAATGCCATTTTTCTTTTGACTGAAGTACTGCTAAGCCCTTTCCCAAAACTGATTATTCATTATAAAATGTGAAACAGTGATGGCAAAATGGTGATGATAAAGTGTCCCTAACCTGGTGGCATGACATTCTCCTGTTACTCACAAGCACTTTTGTGGGTACATGCATAGGATCCCAACAAAGTGACTGGTCTTCTTCATTTAGCTACTTTCAATAAGTTTTCAATCTCGGTACTCATGTTGTTGGCAGTTAGTCTCACAAGCATGATGTGCTTTTTATTCACTTTGTTAGATTGGAAGCTGCCATGTTAGTTCTCTCAGTTCATCTGAAGGAGAAATGAAAGTTAAAATTTTGAGCTTGCCACATAATGTGACATTAGGACGTCTTCTGCTTATACTCTACTCAGGGTATGTTTTCAAATACCATGCACAATTTGTGTACACTCTTTTGAAGCAGATTTATTTAAAGATTAGAATTTATGACCCATTTTCTTGAACAATCCATTTTTTTTATTTTTTCTCTTTGATTTAATTTTTTTTAGTAGTAATATTATCTTTTAATTTTTTTTTTGTTATTAGATGAAGCATTGTCAGCCATTATTCATTTTTGACTAGGATTTCTTTCATCTTAATTTCACTTGCTTTTTATTACATTATTAGTATTAGAAGTAATAGTTTTGAATTTTATTATTAGTAGAGGAAGCATTGTCAGCCATTTTTAAAATGATGAGTGTTAAATATCAATATTATTATCTTGAATTTTATTTCTGTTAGATGAAGTATTGTTAATCATTCTTAATTTTGAGTAGAATTTTTTTTTCATCTTAATTTCATTTACTTTTTATTACACTAATAATATTAGTAGTAATTATCTGGAATTTTATTATTTTTTGTTACTTTTAGATGAATAAATTTCATTCCTTTTAATTTTAGTTGCTGTTTATTACAAATATTAGCTCTTGTTAAGGGTAGGTAACTCTTACTTCAATCACTCTTTTCTTTTAAGGGAGATAACTTTTCAATTGCTTATTTGAAATACATTGGTTTGGCTGTTATCTAAGTTTTGAAAAATACTTAAGTGCAGAGATTTGGACTTCCAGACGCTTTAACCAATAAATTATGAGAATTTGACATCTTTGCAGAATGTTAAATCTAATCTATGGTTCATCACTTCATTCCACAATCTTTATCAGATGCCATATTTGTTTTTACACTTGTAGTATTAGTTGTTGTGGCTAGTATAATAGTTATTGGTGTGAAAATTCTGGATTAGTCTGTTGCATTCATTTCATGCTAATGTCCTTGAAAAGTAAGTAAAAAGAAACTAAATATTAGTCAAAAATTAATAATAACTGATAAGGTTTCAGCTAATAAAAAAATTATGAAAATAAATACTATACACAATAATAATGGTTGATAATGTTTTATTTAATAAGAAAATAAAGATGAAAGTAACTATCATTCAAAAATTAAAAATAATGGCTGACAATGCTTCATCTAAGAACACACAACAAAGATGAAAGTCTGTCTATATTTCTGAGATGAGGTATTGTAACTATTTACATTGTTCAGACTGTTGTCTGTCATATTCATATGGATAAAGGTGTTGTTTGAAGTAATCAAGTGACTTGACACAAAGAGTTGTGAGTTCATTACCTGGCCACAGCAGAAGTGAACAAAAAATTGGAGTGTTACTAAAGGGAAATAACTGAAACTGAGATACCCGGAAGAGGCATGGCATGTGGAACTAGAAAAATCTATTCTGGTGAACGAAATAAAGGTTTCAGATCAAAGTACCAATCACATGAAGAAGGCTGTAGTGTACAACAGCCAAATTGTTAATGTGACAACTAAGATGAGGACAGTAATCTGAACAATGTAAATAGTGTAAAGATGAAAGTAAATATTAAACACAAATTATTAATAATATTAATATTAAGCACAATAATATTAATATTAATATTAAACACAATAATATTAATATTAAACACAATAATATTAATATTAAACACAATAATATTAATATTAAACACAATAATATTAATATTAAACACAATAATATT